AAGAAGTCACTCACCACAATTTCTCTCATCCAATCCATTGGGGCAATCTTTGATCCCATCACAGGCTGGAACGCACAGGCCGTTCACCAAACACAGGAACTCCCCAGGGCAGGCTGCGAAACCACCAGAGAGTAGTTGGTCCCCAGTGACTGGAAACCTCTGAACGGCAGAGCACGGTGGCTTGAAAGTGGAGCGTGGAGCTGCACGCCTTCCTGACCACACACGTGCCCCGGCAGCGTGCCGCTGGAACTCTCTTCGCTCCCCAAAATCTGCCCCGTCCCCTGCTCTGAACAAGAGCAAAAGGACTCAGAGGGGAAGGAGCGCGCTTTCCCTGCTTCCCATTGTACCAATGGGCCAGAGCTGGGACAAACACCCACTTGGCGTGATTTACCTCTGGTTTAGCCCTGTTTCATGATTCCTGAATGCTGCAAGAAAGCTGGAACAGGTTCTTTGGAGTTGTTAATAAAACTTGGATGGGGCTTTGAAGGGGTTGGTGTTAGACACGTGCTGGCAGGTGCACATATTCAGGGACTGGTTTGCATTACAGGCACCCTTTAGGAGTGAGATGGAGAAACCTTGGAAAGACAGACCACGGGTGTACATTTGCATCCGTGCGTATGTGTATTTGTGTGCAATTTTATTTGCTTCTTACTTGCTCAGATTCCAAGGTGAGCAGGAAACAGCTCTCTCTAAGAGCTCTTATAATCAAAATAGAAGTCGCTTCAAGCCGGTGATGGTCTCTTATTGAATGCCCAAGGTCAGTTCATGATGTGGGCAGGGGAGTGAGGCTGTAGACAACTCTGACCTTGGGTTTTGGCACATGGATGTTCTGGCAACACGAGGCAGGGCCATGTGCAGAAGCAGCTTCGCACGTAAATGCCTCTTTCTGGGGGGAGATCAGTGGTGTGTGCATCATTGATTTGTGAGCATGTGCCTGAAGGGCAGATGGCACCTAGGGCTCGCGGGATATGTCCTGCGTTTCTCCTAACACAAGCCAGGTGCACAGGGGCTGCTGGTAGCCACCACACCACTGAGGAACAGGGAGGAGCCTGAACTTACAGTCAGATTGGTTGTACAGGCTGTAAGCTGCCTGTACGCCGGGGCCAGTTAAGGAGATCTGTGAGGTGAAGGTGATGGTGATGTCAGCAGAGGACGTGACTGGGATCCGCTCAGCGTAGGCTTGCAGTGTCCGCAGGCCACACAACCTGAGGAGCAAACACAGGCAGGATGTCTCAGGCAGGGAGGAGAAGGCAAAGAGTGGGGCAAGAGGGCTCAGTGGGGTTGGGGTGGGAAGGGGGCCACACAGACCGGGTGTGTGGGGGGAAGCCAGGAAGGCAAAATGCCTTCAGTATGACATGACATCCATAGTGACCCTACTATCCTTGGATATTTCCCACTTCCTGGGCAAGCGCTGAATTCAGGCCACACAAAACAATTCAGTTCTTACTTTCATCTTCCCAAAGACGCCCTATTGTAGGAACTGTGGGGCTAACAGTTTAAGAGAGGAAGGCAGGGAGAGAAAAAGTGGAAATCCTAACCTAGGGAAACATAGCTTCTGGGTCAGACCCTAAAGAGGAAAAGAAATCACCCCCCCAGAAAGAGTGGAGAGAAAGTTAATGAGATGGGCTGGGGGAAGGTTTGGAGGGAAAGGGGCAATTTTGCAGTAAGTGGGAGGAAAAACAAGAGCCATAAGCCTGTCTGCCTTGGGGCCTGCTTTTGGGAGATGGGAGCTCAGCAGCTCTTGGTCCTTTGCAACTGGACAGCGGTGGGCAGGAGCCCCTGTTCTGTATGAATGCCAGCTATCCTGCTGGGCGGCTGTAGTCAAAGCAGGAGGCTATGGAGCTAGGTGGAAGATCTGTAAGGAGGTGGATGCAAGGCAGTGGCACACAGATAATATTGCAGAGGTGGTGACAGGCAGATTTGCAAACACAGGAGACGTGGGAGGACACCAAGGTTACACACACAGGAGAAAACTAGGAAGCATGATGCAAACAGCAAGACAGAGAAGGCAGGCTGGTAGCTCGAACCAAATCTCTAAGAAATGTGCTCACTGGGAAGCCTGTGAACAAGAGAGGCTGGAAAAGATGTAGAAAAGCAAGAGGCACCAGCACAAACAGTGGCTACCGAGTGTGGAGATAGGCCCTCCCTCAGACCTGGTGGCCAAAGTGAGCAGGGAACCTGCAGAGTTTTAATCCCAGTTTAATTCCAGGTGGGAGGTGAGAGACAGAAACCACGAGTCCAGCACATACCTTCTGTTCTGAATGATCCACTGTCCTTGGGTGCAGGGCAGGTCGTGCTTCTGTCTGCTGAGCGCATAGGCGTCGAACCAGAGGGTGACCCCGTAGTCAAGGGATGGGACCTGCAGACAAGGGGGTCCAGGGCAGAGTGTAGAAGGCCCTGTGAGGGCTGCAGCCCACTCCATCTCCTGACAGAAACGAGCAGGGTGGGTGTGAAGGGGGAGCTGCCAATGCACACATTGCAGCCCAGAAAGAAGCACCCTCTAAAGTGGAGCCATGCCGTGGACCAGGGTGGCTCTGGTGCTGATCCGAATGCACTGCAATTCCTAGCAATTTCTAGAAGTCTGGTTCTGCCTTGAGCTCCTCTGGGAACCAGGTTTCAGATTCCTCCTCAGCTATGACATCTGTGTACCAGCGTGCAATATTAGATTCTTTCTCCTTCAGAAACATGTGTTTTGTTGAGGCTAGGCAGGCTGCCCCCCCGCCCTCCCCTTGCTTCTCATGCTGATCTGACCAAGAGCACTGGCTGTACCCCCTTTATGTGGGAAGTGCCACGCGGGTTTTGGGGTGGGGGTGGATGCTCCTGTGGGAGCTGGTTCTTACCGTCATGTGCCAGGTGCACTGGGTGTTGGGCGAGTAGTAACTGGGGTAGTGTGGGGTGCTGATCTTCCCCTGCAGCTCCAGGCCCTCCCGCAGAGTTATATTCACTTTGCAGGCTGAAATACAGACATTCAAAGCCCTGCTACCTGTCAGCTCAGCCTCAGCCTGGGGTTGCCTTGTACTCATCCCGTTGTAGGAGGGGAGAAAAGGCACTCTAAGGCCTGATGCTAAAGGTGACTGGGATGTTCCACCATCACCCTTCAAGGAACCATTTCTACCTGGCAAGACTTTTTGCCCCCTCCTCTTGTCCAGAGAAGGGTAATGGTAATTTATGTTGCTGCTTTAGACCCTTATACTGAACTGACATTTATCTCTAAGTGCAGCTGGATGTGATGTCCAGGCCACATCAGTCCTGTCCATGCATGAGAGCTTGGTCTTCTAAAGTATCACCATCACTCAGGCCCTGTTGCCAAAGCCTGGGCGATAAAGACTCGAGCCAGATGATAATGCATGAGTCCAGGGGAGGGAGCAACATCTAACCTGCTTTTTACTGACCACCTCTACCCTTGCAATCTGGAGTGAATTCTGCCCTAATGGGGATGGAGCACCTCTAGGTACTGTGATGTTGTAGGAGATAACCTATCTCCTTGGATGTCTTCAAGGCCAGGCTGGACAAGGCTTTGAGCAAACTGATAGAGTGGAAGGTGTCCCTGCCCATGGCAAGGGAGTTGGATCTGGATGGTCTGTAAGGTCCCTTCCAACCCAAACCATTCTATGATTCTATGATCCTTCCTGTGTCTGTGGCTGTCTGCCTCCAGCCTTCTTCACCTTTGAGGGGCACCGCCTGCGCTGAGAGGATGAAGGGGTCATAGTAGCTGTACATGGCTTTCTTCCACACAACGGACATGACAGGGCCAGATGAAAGGACTTCGACAACCGCCTCCTGACGGCTGCAGCCGTAGATCCTCAGGGGAAAGAGAAAAAAGGATGAGAGTGAAGCAAGCAACAAACAAATGAAAGAGAGGAACGAGAAAGAGAAACCGTGGATGCTTGTGTTATCCACAGTACACGCCTGCTGCGAGGCACTAGCCGAATCAAACAGAGGGCCAGCAGGGAGACAGCTCGTGCTGCTGTAATCTCTCAGGCTGCACAGCTGGTTGTGTGATGTCCCACATCAGTAAACTTCAGCTGATCAGCAAGAGGCAGGTTCTGCATCAAAGAGAATTTCCTCTGATGTAGTCTAACACCTTCCCCTGCTGTGGTGTGCCGTGCCATCCTGCCTAGCTTTCCCCACCGTACTCGCCCTGCTCAGGAGCTACCTACGAGGTGATGAGGTGTTTCTCCAGGGGCCCGGCTGCATCATACATAGCCAGGCGGTCCCTGCAGTCTGGGAGAGTCCACTCCAGGCGTAGCTTGATCATGTAGCCATTCAGGCTGTGAAGGTGCCAAAGGCAACTGGAGGCCAGGTAGTCAGGGCCCTCCAGCCTTAGGACGTCATCCTCCTGGACATAGCTGTACCTGTAGCAACCTGAAACCAGGGGAAAGATGAGGGATTTAAACCTCAGGATGATGTAAAAGGAGACAAAGTGAGGCTTAGGCAGAGGGGCTTGTAAGGGAAATTAAGATATGGGATTGTCACTTGGGACATTGTCAGTGTGAGCCCTGTTTCAGGGCAAGCCTGACTCATCTCAGTGATCTCAATTTACTTCTATATATGTCGTGGTGGCACCAGTCCCCTCGTACCGTTGCCCCAGTTTCTCTAAGAACTGTCCCCTCTTCCTTGGTTAAGCTAACACTACCTCAGGTTTTAAATATCAGCACAGCACAGCTATTTTCCACTGGCTTTAATTTCTTTTTCACCTCTTTTTCTTCTCACCCCCATATTCTACCTGGCTTTACATCTCCCTCCTCTGCTTTCCAGGTTTCAGCAGGCTTCCAGACCAGGATTTTTGGGTAAAAATCATCTTAAAGGTGAGTCTCTAATAGCATATCTAATGCAAACTGCCAGCCACAACACTTAACAACACCATCTGAAATTACTAAAAACATCTTCAAACTTCACTAAGACAACAGACTCTGAAATGATTGGCAGCATATTCAGTGCAGAGCCATGCAGGGAAACCCCCACCCTACTCTGCAAAAATTGATGGGGCCTGGAATTAGCACCATTGTATCAGTACACCAAGCTATGTGACAGGACTCATCAGGACAGGGTCAAGACCAAAGGTGGCTGCAGTGTCCCTGGGAGCTGGTACCTCTGCACAGTGCTGTGCTACTGGGGCAGAGGTGTCAGGATGCTCAGAGCAGTCCAGCATGTAGCTGGGTCATGGAGTTTGGGTCTGGCCAAGCAGTGGCAATGATGCTCCCTTGCTACTGTTCTCATCTCCCCTTCCCAGGATTTACAACTCCAGGAAGCCAAAAAGCCTTCTGTACCCTGTAAAAATCCCTCCCATAAAGTCACAAACTCAAAAGGAAAGGAAAAGATAGCCTACCCAGAGTGGATTTCAGCACTACTATGTCTTTCACACTGGATTCTGTTAGAAAGGAAATATATAAAGGAAGATAAACAAAAAGATAAACTGGTAGCATGGCAGGTGATGACTCCCTTCCTTCCTACGTGAACAGCTCACTTATAACTTCACCATGGGGCATCCTCCAGGTACGTCTCTCTCTCTGCTCGCAGGCACCTGTTTCACCCATGCCTTCCACACCCCATCTCTTTAGACTCTTCCCCAAATCCAACAGCCCCAGTTCATGCTTTCCAGCCCACCATGCATTTCTCTGCCTTTTTTCCCTGCCCATTTCATGTGCTATTCTAGGTCGTATTCCCCTTCCCAGGAGGGCTGGGCATTACTTCAGGCTGCCATCCCCCTCCTCTGCCAGCCACACTGCAGAGCACAACCCCACTTCCCAGAGCCTTCACCATCTGCCCACCCCTCCCCTGCTCTCCCAGTTTAAATAACCCTCACTGAAAAGCATGGGAATTCCTGAGGGTGGGGAAGGAGGTCTCTCTTGATCACCACTGGCTGATGAGCTATTCAGCATCCTCATGGAGTCCACTGCTGGAGAAGGGAGCTGCAGAGAAAGCCACCAGCAAGGACTACAAATCTGTGCAAAGCAGAGTCACAGGGTGGACAACACTTTTAGGAGAGCTGGGCTTTGATCCAGCCTCCCACTTGAACTGGAAGTGGCCAGAGATCAGGTGCTACTGGGAATAATTGCCAAAATGGAAAGCACTGTGAGGTCAGTTGGGTGTGAGAATTGCTGCTGGGGGCTTGCCTAGGTCAGGGCTTTGGTCTTTAGTAGCTGCTAAGCAGAGTTTGCAATTCTGTGGGGAGAGCTGAGCAGTTTTGTCATGGCAAAAGCAGATGTTGTGGAAAAGATGATCCTCCAGGCATGAGGCAGGCTCCTGGAGAAGCTCATGTGCTGTAGGGAAGGATGTATGCTGAGCTGCTATTAAGTACTCTTATCTGCAGGTAATAACCCGAGTTCCTGTAAGGAGAAGGAAGTTCTGAAACTCTCTGGAGCAAAGGGCAAGCTAGTGTCCTGGGGTGAGTGTAGCTGTTAGTAAAAATAAAGCGTTGGAGAGGTTCCCGCGCTAGTCAGTGGTTTGCAGCGCGGTGTCGTAAGGCAGGCTGCAGCAAGGCTTCATGTTCAGAGCTAAGCAGGTCAGCAAATGAGTCTGTCAGAAAGCAATGAAGTGCTAATGACTTGCTATTAGCTCACCATTTTTTCACTCCAATTTTATAGGGCAAAGGAAGCCAGAGGTTAAGTCACAGGGTAGAGTTAAGCCAGAGGGCTTGGGGTCATCCTGTCCCAGCAGTATTTCGGGCTTCTGTCTTAGTTGCTAGACTGTGCTTCTGACTAGAAAGGGAGGTGAAAAACACTAGGGAAAGCAGAAGGAGCTGGAGAAACTACAACTGCTGTGTTAATTCCAAAATAGAAAGAAGTGTGGTTTGCTGAAATGAATAAAACAGTGAAATAGATGCAAAGGGAATAAGAGGGAACTTGGAAGAGCTAAAAGAATGGCACCATTATTTTTGTTTGTTTATGAGTTACATTATGAAGTGAGTGAATAAAGGGAAAGTGCTAGATGGGCTGACTTGGAAGCAGTTAGCATATTATTTTATGATACCTTTCTTAAGAAAGTTAATTTAAATTGTCTGAGCATAAGGTCTGGCATGCTGGAAACAAATCATAAGTAGAAGTGAGTGACTAATGGTAACTGCGGGAGGAGATGCTAATGCAGCTTCAGAATAAGTTCTTAACATGATGGTCAGGATGAAGGAGTGAAAATAATTTTGAGGAAATTAAGTTTTCTTTGAAGACACAAAAAAGAAATGACCCCCAAAACAAAACAATTGAGATGTGGAGGAAAAAGTTAAAGAAAATATGGGTTTGGTATATTAAAATAAGATTGACCTTAGAAAAATGCAAGATAACATGACTGGGAAAAAATACTTGGAGATGTGACATTTCATGGGGAGAAGAAACTTGGAAATGAGACTCCAGGGGCAGAGAAAAAACACAATGCATTTAAAAACCTGTGAGGTTTGGGCGTCTATAAGAGGGATCAGATCAGGCTGAGAAGTTAAGTCTCGTTATAAAGACCAAATAAAAATTCCATTGGACTTGGCTGCGATGCACTGAATATAGAGAAATCCCTAGTCCTTTACTGAACACCTATTTTAGAGCAGTCCTGTAGGGTTGGCTTTTTAAACAGTCTGTGATCTTCACTGTGGGCAACAATAGATAATCCTTAAAATCATCTCAAGAACTGGAGTGGCAACAAGGCTTCATCTCAGAAGTCGTCTAGCGGTGACTCAGGTATGTTGCCTTTGTTCTTCTCTCACTCAAGTAGCCTGGAACAATTTCCCAAAGGAAGGGAGGAAACCTAATCCCTTGCTAATTTTGAGCTGAGCTGATCAAAGTCATGGCCTGTGTAAAATCTTATTCCACAGAAGCCAAAGCTGATGGGAGAAGGAAGAGAAAAAAAAGGTTACCTAGCTGGTAAGAGTCAGCTGTATCTCCAGTAATCTTTAATCCTTCAAAGGAAGGATGCTTTTTTTAGTCAAACTTCAATTCTCCTCTATCAGGAAAAAATACCTGTAATTGTATCTCCTGATCCTCGTTTTCCCCCTGTTCCCTTCAACACTGACTTCTGCCCTTTCCTCCTAACCTCCCTTCAGCACCTCACAGATCTTGGAGCATCTCTGACTGCGCAGGTCACGGCCGAGCAGCTGGTACTTACCCAGCAGCACCAGCGAGTCTGGGTTGACCCTGTACTCCGTCTGGTAGGACAGGCTGCCCGAGCTGTTGAAGCTGGCGGAGAGCTCTTGGTGGAGCGTGGTGTTTACCCTCTCAGCAGTCACCTCCTTCTGCTGACTCTCAGGGATTTGGAGGGCAAACCAGAAGAAGAAGGTCAGAGCCCCCTCCCTAACAGATAAAGAGCATGTTAAATAGCCTCTCTCTTTCTCTCCAGAATCACTGGAGAGGCAAACCCCAGAGATTAACCCCCCCCACTGTTTTTCCATGAGTCAGACATATCTGTGTGGACTTTCCAGCTTGCTGCTGTGACCCAGACGAACGGTTCTGAGAGGGGCAGGAGAGCTGCTATGTCTATGGTGGTAGTCAATGCTCAGTCCTTTGGCAGAGGAAGCCATTTTATGCCATCTGGCTTTAGTGATGACCATATGTGGCCAAATTAATGTGATAATTAATCAAGGATGGACTAATGAGTAGTCTCATTTGAGGTAGAAGTGACCTTTGGTTACTGCAGCCCAGAGGTTGAAAAGAAACACTCAGGACTTCATTGTCTCACCTCCCAGTGGTGACAAGTGGATGATTTAGGGCTCAATACCTTACCACAAGCCATTAATGCTGGGCAGGCTCAAGCTGCAGGAGACTCTGACTGGGAAAGCTCTGTTCAACCAGCTGGCAGAGAAAATTGGCTGGGGGAGGGGGGAGAGATGTTGAAACAAAACCTTTGTTCAGTAAAAGGCTAGAGGAAGAATTGCAAGTGAAATTTTACTTTCCCCAGTTGAAAATGAAGTTACGTCAGAATTGGAATATTCCTTAGTAGAAGGACAAATTTAGGGGTGTGGTTTTTCATGGAAAAAATCAGAAGTGAATGTATACGCCAGTTTGGAAGTTATGCCTGCTTTCTTGATGAACTGTGATGACCTGCAAAGCTGTAGTCCCACATCTGTCCCATTCCACAGTTATCCTATTCCCGGGTGGACCATGGTTCTTGGCTGGAATACCTTTTCCATGGTTCATTCTGGCCTCTCCCTTCTGGTGCCTAGAATCAGGCCATGAAATTACTTTCTTGAATTAGAGACAGTAATTTCCAGCTGCTTAGTTTCTACTAAGAATGCCAAACCTGGTGGGTTTTTTTTATTTTAGTTCTTCACAGTTAATTTTATTCCTCCCTTGAACTTCTGCCTCTCTGAAAAATTTCTTAGTTTTGACTTTTCCTCATGACCTTGGATGAACATGAACATCAAAATATCTACTGCTTTGTTATGCTGGAACCATTTTGGATCTGGACTGCCCAGCCTAGTCTAGAGGTCATGGTAGGGATTGCAGCAGCTTGTCATGGCCAGACTTCAGTGAAACTAGAGTACAATTGACCGAAACCTTTCACACGAGAACAAGGAAAAATGCTGTGGGTGCTACTCACCCAAAGGCATACACTGTGCTCGAGTTGTAATATCGACCCAGCTCTGTGGCACGAATCAGTTCCTTCAGCTGCAACGAGAATGTTGTCTGGTAACTATTGTGCAATGTTACAGTGGCAAAGCACCTATGGCCAACCCTATGTTTCATCCCTCTTGCTGTACAGACCCACCAAGTCTGTCACTTGGATGGGGGTACCTCATCCCTTCCTCTTTCTACTCACTGAACTGCCTCAGGGCCAGCTCTGGTCATGAAATTGCCCTCACCATCTTCTGGAGCTTAGCTGACTCCAACCAGAAGGCTCTCGACTCCACCTGCCCAAGGTCTGGGGAGTACTGGCGATTGAGGACCTGGAGGCTGCCAGAGTAGAACTGCAGGACGGCTGGTTCCAGGTGCCACGGTCTGTAGTCTGCCAACAGAAGACACTACTGGATTACCTTGCTGATACATAGGAGGTTTTACCCCTGTGTATGAGTTTGTTAAATCACACAGATTCACTAAAATGCTTTGGGCTGGGCACTGTCTTGACTACACCCCATCCACCTCCCGCGTGGGGACAAAACATGTTGAATGTTTACCTAGGAAATACCAGGTTGCTGCAGCAGCTCCAGCCAGCAAAAGAAAAGCTATCCCAAGGGGTACATAGCGGAGGTAGTTACGAGAGTTAGTCTCCGATTCATCCTTTGAGAGGGAGTTGGCATCCTCCTCCTGTTCCTCGGCCTCCATCAGGGGCATCTAGTGATACAGCACAGCATGATCAGGCAGGGTTTTCTGCATCTCTCTGCATCTGTCTCTGGAGGTGCTCCAGCATCTCTGTCCTCCTTTCCCAAAATCTATAGCCCCAAGAGATCTGTGTGCTAACCATCAAAGACTTTGCTCAGCGTGGATGTGAGTGAAACTCCTAATTCAGTGGGAGACAGGCTTCCGGGACACTGCACTATGTCTCCTGGATAATCCCTCAATTTTCAAAGGCATTCCCTGGGTTTTGCTTCTGCCAAAACAACAAATGAGTGCAATAATTAATTTATCCGGAGACAAAACTGTTGTCCTCCCAGGCTGGGAATGGTTTTAAAGCTGGTATTTTACTGACCAAGGAATTAATGTGAAAGAAAATCCATGACCTCAAATTACACACAGAAGTCACACAAAACAGCCACAGCCTGGGAGTCAGAAGTTGCACTTTGCCTGCTGTGCCATTTTACTCCTGGTCCCTAAAAGTAAGCAAACCTTGCCGTTCACACCAGATCACGTGTCCCAGGGCTAAGCCCATGCTGGCATGGACTCAGTAGCTCTCCAACACCCTTTTCTTGTGCCAGGGGACACCTTCTGGCTTCCTTTGCCTCTCGTCTCCCCCAGGCTGCTTCTTTTGCTTCCTCCTGACTGCTCCTTTTCTGTCAGCCCCAGACTCTGAGGGTAAGAAATGCCATTGCCAGAGACCCACGTTAATCTTGGGTATCTCACCCACCTTCCTTCTCCCTTCCTCTGCCATCACGCAGTGCATGGGCCCCCCCAAAGGCTTTCTGTGTGGCTGAGGAGGAAAGGGATGTGAACGCACCCGCGTGGGAGGGCACAGAGGTTTTGGGGAATGCCTGTGCCCTGTCTACGCACCTGCGAGTCATCTTCCTGCCCAGCGGTGCGTGTGAGCGTGGGGGCATGAGTGCATGGGAGGGACTTGCTGCGGCGGTGGGAAGAGATGGTTGGCCTCGTGCTCATTTTAGCCCGCCTGGGTGCCATCATTCACACGATAAGGGCAAGTGGGCTTCTGAGGATCCCTGTTTGCCCCCCGGTTACTAATCCCCGAGCCCTCCAGGCTGCCTTGCAACATGGGAACACGCCTGTGGGATGTGAGCACCAGGAAACTCACTCCATTAAACCCTGCTTGGTGAACATCAGCGATGGGACAATCAGCTGGACATCGGCTTGCTCTAATGCACCCTTCCAGACCGGCACCTCCCAGCACAGGCTGCCTTCTCTTGCTTCTCGTGGGTCACCTTTCTGTGCCACCCCTGGGGAGGATCTCCTCCCTAACAAACCAGGCTGGGCGGTCCAGGGGCGCAAGGGCACGGCACCGCTATTGCAGCATCCCTTCCGACACGCCAGGCACAAGCAAAGAACCGCAGGTGGAGGGGCGGGGGAGGAGGGCAGGAAGCAGCAGCAGAAGAGCCTCTTTGTTAGAAGATTTGATGGTAGGCACTGGGGATTCCCCCAGAGCTGCAGACCTACCTTTGAAGTCTGCTGCTGCCTGTGAGGCTGGGCCCGGACCCCCTACGCAAGCCAGCTCACGCACGCATGGAGGATGGGGGGAGAGAGGAGGACATCTATTTACCCAAGCTCAAGGTCTCCTCAGCGATCAATAACTTGATGCCATGTCCCTTCAGCTCGGCCTTTGTCCTGCACCGTCCTGCAGCAATGGGTCAGTGCACCCTGTGCGATGGCTTTTTTCTCTTCTGAAATGGAGCTTTGGGAGGCTTGCAGGGGGAGAAGATCTACAGGGTGAACCTGGAAAAAGTCAAGGAAGGAGCACCTCCAGCTGTGCAGAGAAGAACAGCCCAGAAGGCTGGTGCAGATAGCTTATGTCGTGCTCCTCAGGGGACAGGGAGTTGCTGAGCAACTGCTGTATTTCTTAGCTGCCCTCCTAGGTCCCATTGGAGGGAGAGGCAGAAGGCAGGGTGTGTGCTCCCCAGCACAGGGATGGAGCTGCTGGCTGGCAGGAGTAGGTTGCTTGAAGGAGGGAAGATGGCAGTAGACAACAGGTCCAGTTACCACAGTCGTCATTCAGATGAAAGCACAGCAACTGTCTCTCCGTCCTGATCTGCAAGAATCCCTCTGGTCTTCTCACACTTCCCACTGCCCAGACTCCCAGCACTGGGCTCCCCACACTCGGTTGCACGGCCACTCACTCCTCTGTGCAGCATCTGCTTTTCTTCCAGCCCCAGGTCCTCCCCACCTACCTTGCCTGCAGCTCCTTCTGCTTACAGCCCCGCAGCTCTGTACGTGCCCCTTTGTTTTTCACAAAAAGGAACCACGGTCCATCTAGAGCAGAGTAAACAGAGCTATTCTGTCAATAAATGGATGTAGGGGGTGGGGACATGGATGAGACTTGACCTGGGGCTGAGCTCCAGCCGGCGGCATTGACCCGATGCTGAGCTCATTTGGACTCATTTTGGCACCCTGGCAGGGATAGCTGCTTTCAGCTCTAACACTGGTTCAGGTTTAGACTGGGGCTGCATGAAGAACAAATGCCATTGCTGTAGTTGCCTCATGGTGGATTCTCGTAGATAAATGTGAATGAAAAGCTGCAGTGTTTGACTGGGAATGTGTCAGTGTGGCTATCCCAGCTAACTCGCTGCTGTACATATGGGAAACTGAGGCGCGCAATGACAATAAGAAATGCTTTCAGAATTGCTTGACAGATTCGAGAGACCAGATTTCACTTTTTAAAGTTACTTTGAGCCAAAATTTCCCAAGATAACTGAGGACTAGCTACATTTTTAGGCAGATATATATTTGTACATGGCTTTCCCAAGCTTACACTATAAGGGCTGGCCACAGTGGGTCAGAACCCAGCTGTGGGTATTTCCCAATGCCAGAGACCTTAATTTTTTTTTGATATCCAACTTTCCTGGAAAGAAGCATCCTCCTTGTCTGGTGTTTTAAGCAGAACAAAAAATATAGAATCTCAATCTGATCTATCTAAGCAAGCATACCACATCTATCACCGCAGGCTTTTGAATCAACCAAGGACCCAAAACCCTGATCAGATCTGACTTCAGAGGAATTCCTTTACTGCAAGTGCCCTTTGCTTTCCACATCTCCACAGTAAAAAAAAAAACCAAACAACAAAACAACCAAAAAACCAACAGGAAGGGATGTGGGAGGGGGCTGAGAGCTATGTTGCCTATTTACGAACAGGGTATATTGGAAAGAGGGAGATGAGAGATGTGACAGCTATCTTTGCTGTATCTGGGCTTAAGATAAAGAGAGGACTCGTCTGTGTTAGCTCAATATTTTCCACACGGTGCTGGCATTCAGCTTTGGTGAGCCTCTGGTACTGATGGACACCGTCGCAGTGTCCTTCTGTGGTTTTGCAAACCACACACTGTGAGTCCACATTGGCTTAAGAGGAGACCGCTCCCCACGTGACGTTTCCAAAGAGCTCTTGGGGACCCAGCAGAGAAAGGGCCCCACACCACTGAGAGCGTTATGGCTTTGGTATTCACAACCTGGGTTACTCACATACGAGACCACATGATCGTGTCTTCCTGGAAGAAAGGTCCGGTTATCGCCAGATCTCATGTCGAGCGCTTCCTGCCGCAGTGTGTCACACATTCACACCCAGCGTGGCTGAGAACGCAGTGCTAACAGCTTGCCAGCTTGAGAGCTGTCAGCATTTTCATGAAGGGAAGGCTGGGGGGGAGGAATACTGAGCCAGCAGGATGGTCCTCAGAGACTTGCAGCAGGATCACCTCCAACTCTGCTGGCTCCTTGAGGTAGCTGAGTCCCTCGGGAAAGGGAACAGGAAGGTGGACTAAAGCTCTATCAGTCCCAGGAAAGCGTTGCCTCATCACTTATTTAGAAAAGCCGTTAATCCTTTTCCCCCACCCCAAAGGACAGAAAAACATTGTAGATTCCTTTATATTTCTTTAATTTACAAAGAGGCAAAAGGGTGTGGGTTTTTGTTTTTTTTTTTTTTGTACTCATGTTAGCAGCAAGAATAATTGAAAAGCTTATGAAGATCTACATTGGGACAGGATAACCAGCAGTACAACTAGGATACTTGGCCCATGTGAGATAGCAAGTTGCCCCTCAGGGGCAAGGGAGTCAGTGTCTCGTTTTGAAGTCCATCTGGGAAGATTCTCAAAGTACAGCAAACAGCTGGGCAGGACATATGCTTCCTTATGTGGGAAGCTGTGGGGTCTTCTTCACCCGATGTCTCCTGGAGACAATGCAGCAATCCACGTCTTGATGCAGGTGGAGAAGCAGCTGGTGAGAGGAGAGGTATAGCTTCCCCAGCCCTCTCAGCTGCAGGCAGGCTCAAGTCCTTTGAGCAGTTCTTTTGAGGTGAAATCCAAGCCAGTGGGTGATCCTGTAGCTGGGACTCATAATGGCATTCAGGCTGCATAATGCAAGGTCAGGTAACAGTGTGGGACCTGGACAAAGGGCAAGCTCCATGCTTGTATGGGCTGAGGTAGGGATGGATTAGTTCTGGGTGATACAGGGGTGACAGAATTACCAACAAATTCGATATCCTTGACCTTGACTGCTGAATAGTCCAGAAATACGGCAAGAAAGCAGACAGACAGGACAGATGTTGAATGCAGGGATGGATGTAACCAGAACAGCTTGTTTTCCTTTGCCTTGCTGCTTTTCTTCTGTGGTGTGCTGCTTTTCCTTTACTAAAATAAGCAAATGCAGAGGAGAGAGAGAGAAAGAGAGAGAGAGAGAGAGAGAGAGAGAGAGAGAGAGAGAGAGAGAGAGAGAGAGAGAGAGAGAGAGAGAGAGAGAGAGAGAGAGAGAGAGAGAGAGAGAGAGAGAGAGAGAGAGAGAGAGAGAGAGAGAGAGAGAGAGAGAGAGAGAGAGAGAGAGAGAGAGAGAGAGAGAGAGAAAGAAAGAAAGAACGAAAGAAAGAAAGAAAGAGAAAGAATGAAAAAGAAAGAAAGAAAGAAAGATAGAAAGATGAAAGAAAGAAAGAAAGAAAGAAAGAAAGAAAGAAAGAAAGAAAGAAAGAAAGAAAG